ATTATTATTATTATTATTATTATTATTATTATTATTATTATTATTATTATTATTATTATTATTATTATTATTATTATTAATATTAATATTATTATTATTATTATTATTATTATTATTATTATTATTATTATTATTATTATTATTATTATTATTATTATTATTATTATTATTATTATTATTATTATTATTATTATTATTATTATTATTATTATTATTATTATTATTATTATTATTATTATTATTATTATTATTATTATTATTATTATTATTATTATTATTATTATTATTATTATTATTATTATTATTATTATTATTATTATTATTATTATTATTATTATTATTATTATTATTATTATTATTATTATTATTATTATTATTATTATTATTATTATTATTATTATTATTATTATTATTATTATTATTATTATTATTATTATTATTATTATTATTATTATTATTATTATTATTATTATTATTATTATTATTATTATTATTATTATTATTATTATTATTATTATTATTATTATTATTATTATTATTATTATTATTATTATTATTATTATTATTATTATTATTATTATTATTATTATTATTATTATTATTATTATTATTATTATTATTATTATTATTATTATTATTATTATTATTATTATTATTATTATTATTATTATTATTATTATTATTATTATTATTATTATTATTATTATTATTATTATTATTATTATTATTATTATTATTATTATTATTATTATTATTATTATTATTATTATTATTATTATTATTATTATTATTATTATTTATTATTATTATTATTATTATTATTATTATTATTATTATTATTATTATTATTATTATTATTATTATTATTATTATTATTATTATTATTATTATTATTATTATTATTATTATTATTATTATTATTATTATTATTATTATTATTATTATTATTATTATTATTATTATTATTATTATTATTATTATTATTATTATTATTATTATTATTATTATTATTATTATTATTATTATTATTATTATTATTATTATTATGCGACATTATCATGTAACCAACATGGAAGTGGACGTAGATGTTAAGGAACTTGAACGTTATCTCAAAAACTATGCTCCAGATGTTACTGTTTTTAAGTTGAATTCAAGAAATCCAAATATGTATTCGTCTTTTAAGATATCAGCTCCTCCAAATCAAGCTGAAAAATTACTGGATAGTGAAATCTGGCCAGATAAAGTGATATTAAATTATTTTTTTCCGTCGAAAAGACTTAATAACGGAGAATCTGTATATCAATCCCATTCAAACTCGGAAAAATAATTTAACATTGTCAATTTTGCATGTAAATGTCCGAAGTCTTTGCAATAAAGTGAACGAACTTCATGTTTTTTTAAATAACTTTTCTTTTGATGTTTTATGTGTGTCTGAACACTGGCTTAATGATGCTAATTTAAGGACAGTAAATATAGATAATTATCAGCTTGTTTCTTTTTATTGCAGGGATATAAGACAACATGGTGGTGTCGCAATATATGCCAAAAGCGGGATTCAGCTGAAAAGTGTCGAGGTCACAGATTTCTGTCGTCCTATTCATGCTGAGTTTTGTGGGGCAGAAATTGTTGGCACCAACATTTTTATTTTGGCTGTATATAGATCATCTAGTTTTGGAGATCCTAGTATTTTTAAAATGTGCCTTTTAAATTTGTTAGATTTTATTTTTAGGAAATATCAAAAGATTATTTTATTAGGTGACTTTAATTTGGATTTTAACGGTAATGACGAATTTATGTTTAATTTTAATAATTGTCTAAAGACCTTTGGACTAGAGCATAATATTCACGTTCCTACAAGAATTACACCTACCACTCAAACGTGTCTTGATAATATCATAACTAACTTGAACTCTAAAAACTTTACTGCCGGTGTAATTGATACGATGATAGCCGATCATCTTGGTATATATACGACAGTTAATACTGGAGTATGTGGGGATAATAACTGTAATAAATATTTGAAAAGATCAATCACTAATAAAACTATTAAAAAATTTGTTGATTTTATAACTAAAATTATTTGCAATGAATCAGTTTATGAAGATATGAATGCACCAGACTTGAGTGACCTTTTGCATAACACACTAGTCGAATGCGCGAATGAGTGTTTTCCTTTAAAAACCTTCTCAAAACGCTGTAAGGGTTTAAGTTGGTTTAATGATGATCTTAAATATAAGAGAAAAGAAATGTTTTTTTGGCAAAAAAGATTTAAATTCACAAATTCAGATTTGGATTGGCGCGAGTTTATACATATACGGAAACAATATCGTAAAGCATTAGTAAAGGCCAAACGAGAGTCATACGCTGAAGAAATTGAGACTTCAGATAATAAACCTAAAACAATATGGAAGATTGTAAATTATTCAAATAAATCTAAAAGGTCAAATGAAAAACCCACCACTCTCTCTTCGGATGCATTTAACATATTTTTTTCTCAAATAGCCGAAGTTATTTCTGGGAGTATAAATACTGATAGTGCTAACCCATTAGATTATTTAAATAGGCAACCAAAACCCTCATTTTCCTTTTTCTTGTCACCTGTATTAGAAAGTGATATGCGTGCCGCTATTCTAAGGTTAAAAAACTCTGCATGCCTTGATCACTACGGACTTAGTAGCCGCATGATTAAATCAGCAGTTGAAGCATTTGTCAAGCCACTTACTATACTTATCAATAAATGTTTTCAAGAAGGCCACTGGCCAAATTCACTAAAAATTTCAAAGGTATTGCCACTCTTTAAGAAGGGTGACATTGAATGTATAGACAATTACCGCCCTATCACTATTGTCCCTATCATTTCCAAAATTTTTGAGATTATCGTTAAAAATAAATTAGTTTCCTATTTAGAAAATAACAATTTATTTTCTCAATCACAATTTGGCTTCAGGCAAAAAAAATCAACAATTGATGCGGTAACAGCCTTGATTGAAGACGTAGTCGATGGCATTGATCAAACGTACAACACACATGCCACTATGTGTGATCTAACCAAAGCATTTGACTGCGTTGATATTGAGTTGTTACTGATTAAATTGGACTATTATGGAATAAGGGGCAATAGCTACGACTTACTAAAGTCCTATCTGACCGAGCGGGTGCAGTATGTAAGTCATGAACATATTGAATCAGAGATTTTATCTGTTAAAAACGGTGTCCCACAAGGATCAGTCCTAGGACCTATCCTGTTTTTAATTTACATAAACGATTTACCAACAACACTCGACGCTTGTACCTGCATACTGTACGCTGATGATACAACCCTTCTTTCTAGGGGAAACACAGCTTCAAGTGAGAACGATCTAGACACTGCTAAAAGATGGTTCACTGCCAACAAGTTAAAACTTAATGAAAATAAAACTACAAGAATATTATTTAGCGCGGATAAACATGCAATTAAATCTAAACCGGTTAAATTGTTGGGTGTTACACTTGACACAACCTTGAACTGGGTAGCACATGCTGACACTCTCAGCCGGAAATTAGCATCCCAAAATTTTGTTATCAGACAATTAAGTTCGGTTTTAGATATAAATGCCTTAAGAACTGTATATTTCGCTCTAGTCCACAGCCACTTAACATACGGAATTATACTTTGGGGTAGGACAAGTGCTCTACAGAAACTCTTTAGCTGTCAAAAAGCTGCAGTACGGATAATTGGAGGAGCTCCATATGGAACTCACTGTCAACCGTTGTTTAAGGGTTACAGGATCCTTCCAGTGCCTTGTGTATATATTTTGGAATCATTGTTATGGATACACAAAAATAGAAATCATATCCCCACACACACGGGTATTCACAATTATGCTACAAGGAATAGGGAGAATCTTGTAAACCCTTTCTCACGGATAAACATCACCCAAAATAATAAAGCAGACTATAATTTATATAACAACTTTGTGAACTATCATCGTAACGTTTCTATTAAAAATATGAATGTTAATAAATTCCGTTTAACAGTTAAAGAGTTCCTACTGGAGCATTGTTTCTACTCTATTCAAGACTTTTTTATATTTACAAAATAGTATTTGTTTCGTATCTACTTTATTTGTCTTTTTAAATTTTTATCTTATATTTTGTATTTGTATTTGTCTTTTTAAATTTTTATCTTATATTTTATATTATATTTTTATCTGTAATAGTTTACTACCATTGTACTGTGACGTAAAATACAAAAACCATGTAATTAAGTCAATAAACATATCTATCTATCTATCTATCTATTATTATTATTATTATTATTATTATTATTATTATTATTATTATTAATATTATTATTATTATTATTATTATTATTATTATTATTATTATTATTATTATTATTATTATTATTATTATTATTATTATTATTATTATTATTATTATTATTATTATTATTATTATTATTATTATTATTATTATTATTATTATTATTATTATTATTATTATTATTATTATTATTATTATTATTATTATTATTATTATTATTATTATTATTATTATATATATTATTATTATTATTATTATTATTATTATTATTATTATTATTATTATTATTATTATTATTATTATTATTAATTATTATTATTATTAATATTATCAGCTGTCTGATTGATGTTGGAAAAAATGTTCGTAGAAAGAGAACATATTGTCATGAAATTCCTAAAGCCGTCTCTGTCTAAACTCTACATCGAGCGACCTTCACGTCTGCGACAACCGACTCATGCTCGAAACTGCGAAATATTCTGGAAATGCAGCTGAGGCTCGAGAAACGGGTAGAACGGGCGAAGAGATGGAATTTTCGGGAACGTCTACAAACTACGAGCACAGAATTGGCTTGGTATAAATAGCCGGCTCATCGGCGCACAGTTTAGTTTAGAGTATTGGAATGAAAAGTTAAAGTGTAATAAATAAATTAGAATTGTTAGTTAGTATATAAGTATTATATAAATTTAATAGTATGTCATAAATAAATTGTAAATAGTGTGTTTTAAATAAATAAACTATAAATTAATTAGACTATCGTTATAATATTTTGTAAGTTTTTTTATTCTTTTGAAAATTAGTACACAATGTTATTAAAATGGCTTATTGCCATTTAATATGTCAGTACGTAAATTCTGGGACGAATTTGTGACGCAACCTTATTAGCAGTATCACCAATTGATCCCAAACCTATACTCGTAGCATGGCCACCAATAAATTCAATTCCATCAGCAACTATGTTAGCACATTTATCATATACTGAACTGGCCATACCCTTCGCCTAAAATAAGAACACAATGCTTTAAGGAAAATTGTTTTAAAAAAAATATTAAGGGTTCGTTGCGTTTTAATTATTTTATAATGATTAACTAAAAAAATCTACTTACAGAATCCCCTAACCCAGAAGCTTTGTCCATTGCTTGATCAGCGGAATCTTTCTGTAACAATTTAAATGAAACATTTTTAACAGAGCTTTAAAATATATGCAAATAAGTATATAAAGTCTGTGTGGAGCGGCCGACAGACTAGCTCCAGCCGGGCACTACAATCGGGAAAGTAGAAGTCAACCAGATGGCCACTTCCAGAAATGGGGAATCAAGTGACGTCTCGGAGACTTTATTAGCCTGCAAGATTTTGACGAGCTGACAGACTGGCTATCCCTACCTCTTGTAAAATTGTTAACCATCAGGCTCATGAAGACAAGCTCTAGAAGGATGCATAAGGTGCCATAGTATGGCTTAGATTAGATTTAGTTAGGATTGTGGGCCATGTAACTTCTCCCGTTGCTATATTTTTTGGATTTGTTGGTTATATTTACTTTCCTTTGTTGGTCTTTTTCATCTTCAAGTATAATGAATATCAGTCTTGATAGATCTTCGCAGTAACACAGTACAGAATTGGAACAAGGTCTCTCCTGGCAAACCAATGGTATAAATAACTATATGTTTGATTAGCCTGCAATATCCTGTTAATAGGACTACTAGTATTTTACTATTTTTCATATTCTGGCTTAGTACATTCTCGGTAAGTTTTGACGATGGTCATTTTAGAGACTCTCTGGCTTGACTCTGTTCTGGTGAATTGTTCCATATATCCTGAGTTTTGTTTAATATCTACTCCTTTGTGTATGTTCTGATGGCTGTCTTTTTATCACCATAGGAAGGTTCTGGGTCAATATGAGCCTTTAAGACTCCTCGAGATAGTCAGCCTTGTTATATTGAGGCATATATACTGTAGGGCAACCCATCCTCCCCTCCTTAAAGATACAGAGAGTTATTGAAAGATCGTACTCAATGTTGGAACCCAGAGTACTCAAATTCAAACACTGAATGAGTTTACACAACTTTCAAAGCCATTTTTGTTTATTTCGTTTTTCTTCTTGGATTTTGTGTCCTGTTGTGTTTATTGTTTATTTAACGTTTATTTTAACAACTTTTATTGTGGCACTTATGTGTGATAGTTTCCGAGAATATATTGACTGTTTTATTTAAAATGGTAATAAGGTGCCATGTTTTGGTTAGTTTATAGACTCATATAACCATTATATGATTGTTAGTTTAAACGTCGTGATAGAAAAGGCCAACTTTAACTATATGATCTCACATGGCTTTGTCACACTTGATTTGTTCAGAAATAAAAGACGAGAATATTCGGAGAATTTGTTATACAAAACAAGTATTAGAAATTAAAAATTAAAAAAAAAACTACTTCAAAAACGTGTAAATGCCATCACCATATCTTAACTAAATTTATATGGGATCACCCCTGAGGTACCCCCTTACTACAAAAAAAAGAATCATATAAATCGGACAAGGTGGTAAAGCATTATCGCTAAACATACGTAAAAAATGAAGAGTTTGAGGATTTTCCCATAGACCCAATAATTAGATTTTGACCAAATATATGGCACCACTCTTGAAGTACCCCTTTCTAACAAAAAAAGAATCATTCAAATCGGACACGAGTTAAAGAATTATCGCTGAACATACATAAAAAAAAATATATATTTCGACGAATTGAGAACCGCCTCCTTTTTTGAACATATGGCATACTTTGATAATGTTAAAATTCAGAAGTTGAAAGCTAGATGAACATTTTTAATCGCAAATATAGCTATACCAAGCACAAGACCAGATTACTCCGAAGATCTGATTCAATTCTTTTGAATTCTTGAACAAATTCGCCCCCTTATAAAGGAAGCAGGTGGCATATAAAAGCAAATAACGAAGAGAAGAAAGAAAAATAGTGCTATTTTAACAGACATTCCATAAAAGCTCATTCTCGAAGAAACCAGAGTAAGTGGAGTAAATAGAAATGTAGAGCAAAATGAAGATGACGAAAACACCAAAAAGCTGGAAGAAACAAATAATAGAATTTCACCTAGGGAAGTATAAGAAGATCGATGGTAGACAAGGTTTCTCTCGCGTGACAGATTAATAAACGGAAGATTCAGAAACGGAAGATTCATGTTGTCTATATTGCTTAAAACCATACACCGGGAAACCCAAGGAAATATGGATTCAGTGCAAACACAAGCGCAAACAATGGGCACACGACTTTTTTATTGTTTGAACTGCGATGAAGATGATGAGGGTGATTAATGTTCTGATTTCTTTCTTAATCAAGAATGTGGCTTTATTATAATGTGAGTTAGTTTGAAGATCATTAATGTTGCACTAAATATGTATTCTTTTTTTTTTTCACTAATAAATATTATTTTCAATAGTTGTAGACTTTGTTACATTTGACCCCCGTTTATGTCACACTTGTCACACTTGCGGGTACGTTTGTAAAATTCTGCCCCACCACGTTATAGAATTTTTTTCTTGTTAATGAAGTGACCACCACATCATCATTTTTCTTTTTAATTTTACAAAAAACATTTTAAGTCAAAATTTTTAAAATTGTACTAGACTTCCCCTATATAAATAAATGTATCAGTAAAAGAGATATAAATTAGTGTTATAGTTAGTACAAATAAATTGAGTTGTAAAATAAATGTTCGAGTTAGAACAAACTAAACAAACAAACTGCATTCGAAATTGCTTACCAGATTTGTCATGAGATCTCGTTGACTAATCCTATTTGGAGGAACTCCAAAAAAAAAATCGTTATTAAAAAGAGGACGATAATACCCACTACAAGCAACTATTAGAGTTACCAAACCAATAAGAGTTATACCTTTCATTTTATTACTGTTTCATAAGACGACGCTTTCTTATGCGATTACTTATAATATTCAAGTAATAATTAAAAAACGGCTTATTTTAAACTAAATTTAGTCACGGCAAAAAAATATTAATTATTAAAATATATCAAATTTAAATAGGGCTGAACAATAAGTATATTTCATGGTAATTATTTTTTTGTTATTTTTAATACTCTTATTATTTATATTTAATTAAACTATAACTGAAATTAAATGAAAACAATATTAACTAATTTAGAGATAAGTATTTTTTTGTCAACTTGATGTAAAAATAGTAATTTATGCAATAATTGCATAAAATGCATACAATATTTTTTCTGCGGACCTATACAAATAATCAAATCCAAATAGTAATTTAGAATATTTTAATTAAACTACTTCAGAAATGCTATTAGTTTAGAACATAAATTTATATCTATGTTATCATTAACAATAATTAAGGTTGATCTTAATTTAGAATAGCTAGACCACATTGTAGAAGACATGCATTCTCTAGACGTTTCTTCAAAAAACGCTAGTATCACCCGCTTTGTAAAGCTATGAATAATATTCTGATTCCTCCAATACATAAATTGTATTAGATAATTTTCTTTGGATTTCTCCGGCAGCAAATTTAAGGTTTAGCCAACGCTCTCAATTTTAAATGGTTTTAAAAAATATACTTATAGTTTAATATTATGTTCATAGATTACGCTAGTATATCTATTTCGGTAAATTAAATGAAATACAATGTTCCAAGTAAAAAATCTTAATAATTATGCGTATCCTTAAAACACCAATAATTTGGCCGATTGTATCTACAATCTAGGAAATTGAATTTTTAGAGAATTTTGGTATTATTGAGACGGTGTTGTCAAGTCTTATTATTTATAAGGTACAGTATAACTTCGATAGTTCGGACAGTCGCTAGACCGGACAATCCAGTAATCCGGGCACTGCTGTGATTCGGGCATTTTGACAATTTTGCCTCTGAAATCCGGGCACAAAAATATTCATATGCAAATACTAGAATTTTCTGGTCTAAATAAGTGTTAGAAACGGCGCAGCAACGGCCTCGTCTCTTCATCTTTCTTTCCGCATTTGGTTTTTAAGCGTGCCGGATGCAATGGCTCCAATAAAACAACTACATAAGACACACTGGCAAAAAAAATCCAAAATATTAGATTGCCTTGATGCAGGAAAAAGTACACGTCGAATTGCAGAGCAGTTTGGTATTCCAAAATTTACAGTGTTTGATATAAAAAAACAAGGATAAAATAAGGATCTTTATTTCAAAATCATTTCAGGGGTCAGGTAGGAATACCAATAAGTTCGTATGTAATATTTAATTAATTCAATTCTTCCTTCTATTTTTGTAGGCAAAAAGAGAATCATTTGGAAAGCAGGGCATCCTGAACTTGAAGTCGCATTGTACAACTGGTTTATACAACAACGAAACGCACATACCTGTTTCATCAGAAATATTACGTACCAAAGCTAAACAATTTTATGAACAAATAACAGGAAAAAATGACTTTTTAGCAAGTTCTGGATGGTTAGACAAATTCAAGCTAAGGCACGGAATCCGTTTTTTGAAGGTCTGTGTCGAAAAACTTTCCCGTGATGTTGCCGCCATAATACCATTTCAGGAAAAATTTAGAGCTCTAGTTGAAGAGATGCAATTAAGTTACGATGAGTCGGCAATTTTTTGGAGAACTCTACCTGATACCACTTGGGTCCATCAAGATGAAAAAACGGCACCAGGTCGGAAAATTTTGAAAGACCGTTTAACATTTATGCCGTGCTGCAACGTAGCGGGATCGCATAAGTTACTACTGTTGGTCTTGGGAAAAACGGCGCGTCCACGAGCACTAAAAAATTAAACTTCATTACCAGTTGTATACAAAGCTTCTACCAAAGGATGGATGACGAGACCGCTATTTATGGAATGGTTCAAAACATCTTTCATATCGGAGGTCAAGAAATTTTTAACAGGAATTAACAAACCCTGTAAAGCACTGTTATAAGTAGACAATGCACCATCACACCCATCTGAGGAAGGGGTTAATACTAATCCAAATTTCAGGATTTTGTTTTTGCCTCCAAATTGTACGGCAGTTCTTCAGCCGATGGATCAGAATTTAATCCAGAATATAAAGGTATCATATAGGAAACGCCTTCTCAATCATATCATCTCACATGAAGATAAAGACTTAGTCATCCTTTTGAAGCAATATAATTTAAAAGATG